GAGGGATAGGGCGGAGTGGGCGTGATGAAACAACAGCAATGACAATAATCATAGTAATAATAATAATCATAATAATCGTAATAATTAGCATAACTCATATCGTGCAGCAGCAATGATAAAAGTTATATATGTATAAGTTATGCCTGCTTTTGTTTTTTTTTTTTTTGTTTTAATACATTTAGATGTAGAGATGTACATATGTATTTATGTATGCATGTATGTGTGTATATATGTGTATATGTTTGGACTTAAAGAACTAAAAAACATCATATTATCAGCAGCATTTATCTAATCTGCATCATCATCATTAGCATTAGCATTAGCATTAGCATTATCGTAATCATTATATTTATCGTTATCAATTTCATTTTACATACACATAGCTTTCGTTATCTTCATTTGCTTTGACTTTATGCTGAACAGGAATTGCAATAGTTGAACAATTTTCCCGTTGAATAAGAAATTGCATTAGGCATTTACTTAATGTAGTAATTTTCATCATTGTTTATAAATTCATAACTTAGTAATTTCTTAGGACACTTTTGCGAAACACTATAGCCAGAAGAAGCATCTCACTTGACTACTTCTCAAGTATTATATAAAATATTGTAAATATATATACATAAATATATATGTATACATATATTAGTTATAGCAGATATATATATATATATATATATATGTGTGTGTGTTTGTGTGCTTCAAGTGCTTTTGTTTAGGCCAGAGTGTGTGTGTATGAAGGCAACGTGTGCCACATAGAAAAACTTTTGCATTTCTATCAGATTCCATAAATGTAAGTATATATATAAGTATGTATACATATATATATATGTGTGTGTTTATAGATTATTACAGTAGTTAATTGTAATAAGGACGACAGCATTTTAGGAATTGCATTATTAATATTGTTTAAATTATTATTTTGTTATGCACAAAAGCAATTTGTTATTAATAATGCGCTTCAAAGCGCGCTACAAGCCTGGCTATATCTATACATATATATATGTATATATTTGTGTATATGTATAGGATATATATGTGTACGTATATATATACAAACATGTATAAATATGTGTATAGATCATATATAAAACATAAGCATACATATAATATATATATACATATATATACATGCATATACATACACATAAACATATGCATATACATATATAGATACATCTGTGCATGTGTGCTGACTATAGCTTATTGTTTAATAATTTAGTGCTCCTGCTTATCCTGCTCCTCCTCCTCCAACTCCTGCTGCTGCTGTTTTGACTTCATTCAACTTGCCCTGGTCCTGGTCCTGGCTTTAAGTTTCCTGTCGCTTTGCTGTGCTTTTGGTTGTTGTTGTTGATTGGTAAATTGTTGTTATTGATTGGATTGGTTTGAATTGAATTTGATTGTTTGATTGATTGGGTTTAGTATCTGCTGTTGTTGAACTGTGAATTAACCGCCGAGCTAACGGCCGATGAGGCCGCCTCCTGCACATGCTGATTGCGCAAAAACTCTGTGGTAAACTCGGCCTTGGCCTTGTCCATGCTGGCGCCGGTGCTGCGATAGATGCTATGTATCTTCATGATCATCAGGACATTGGCGCCGGCGGTGATGGCGAAACAGAAGGCGATTATCAGCAGCAACAGGCCGACGACAATGCCCCAGGCACTGCTATCGAATTGTGAGATGGCCGTTATGAAGCCGCAATAGCCCAAATCCTTAAAGCCAATGGCCTGAATGACTGTGTAGACCGTTTGAAAGAAATACACAAAGAAGAAGACCATAAAATTGAAGCTCGAATCGTTGCGGAATGCCTTATAAGCGGGCCGAAACCTGCAAAGCACCAAACAGACCGAGACAACACAAGCAGAGAACAAGGCAGAGTGAGAGAGAGAGAGAGAGACAGGGAGAGAGAGATAATGTGGTTAGCGATTAAGACGTAGCGACATGGAGCTAACTCTATACATACCAGCACACATATGAGGCGGGCGTAAACAGCAGCGTATAGAAGATGGCCAAAAACAGATTGGACAATAGGCCTGCGTGGAACAGCAGGATGAGACCTCCGAGAATATTGGCGACCAGCGTCATGGTATAGACTGCAAAGAATTACCCAATTAATCAATATTCGTAATTAAATTGTTAATGAACGTCGCAAAAGTGGGTGGGAGATGATAGACTAAGACTTTGACTAACTAACTGAGGGCATTACTGAAAAAAAAATAGTGAAAAGACTGACTGCCAAATGGATTGACTAAGTAAGAGAATGACTCAAGGAGTGAGCAACCAGGCTGACTGATTAGCTGATTGACTAAGTGAAAGACAGACCAACAAGCCAAATGTGAAAACAAATCAAAGCGATCAACAATTAAATGAAAGACTGAATCAGACAGACTGACTAGGTGAGAAACAGATGTTAAACAAAAGGAGGATAACACATTTATTGAAAAACATACGAACTAACTGGATGATTAACTAAGTAAAAGACAGCTGTTTAAAAGCTGATTGAAAGACTTGCTGATTAAATTCGAATTGAAGGTTTCACTACTTAGTTAAATGGTTGGAAAGGGTAGGGAAGGGTAGACGAACAAACAAAATGATTCAATTGATTGAAAGACTAAATCGCTTGCGAACTAATCAACAGAAAATTCAGAACACAACTGATTCATAAGAGTGACTACGAACTAATTGACTAAACGGTATTTCAGAGTGATTGATTGATTAATTGCCGGACTGCGTGTAAGGGAGAATGAATCAACTGATTGAACAAATGTTATAAAAACTGATGCGCTGACTCAAAAGATGGCCAAATTCATATAGACTACTTGACTAAATGGAATACAGACAGACACACTGACTAGTTGATTGACAAATTGACAAACTGAGAGACAGACAAACATATGAAATATTCAGCCAACAATCAAGACTTTCAATTCATCAATAGGAATTCCTTATCTTCTACACAATTGCAAAAATATAATCTAAAAATATAATTATATCTATCTATACTATATACATAATGAACCCTTCTTTTATCTCCCACTCTTCGAATCGTATAGATCGCAGTTGAGAAATCCTTTGAATATAAATAGATAAGCTTGTTTGCCTAATGATAAGCTCATCATATATGATGCATTTAGAACTATATATAGTAGTTCTTTTAAGGCTCTTTGTTTGGCAGTCATACGGATGCCTGTCGCTGTAGCTGTCGGCATTTGCGAAATGGACTAATAATCGACATTTATTAGCTTATGGCATGAGTAATGCGATTCGAGTCTTATCAGCCTTGGGGCGTCTCAATTGAAAACAATAAAATGCGGCGATAATAAACGAAATGCTTACAAATCCAGATGTAGTACAAATGCTTGACCAGCTTTTGAAATTCGGGCGGTATTTCCACCTCAATGTCCTGATAGAAGCACGCCTTCACGCAAAAGTTATCCGGCAGGGGCGGCCAATTATTCAGCTGTGGGACATTGCCCTGCAGCTGCTGTTCACGGCGATCTAGTTCGGCAGCCTTGCGATCGAGTTCCTCCTGGCGGCGCTGTAAATTGAGAAGACAATCAGCTATCTGTAACTGTGGCTATCTACATGTATGTATGTGTGTGTGTGTGTGTCTGTCTATTGAATGAAAAACAAACAAACACACAGAGCACACACAGACAGTGATAGCTGAGCACAACTGCAGCCACAGCAATGCAGCGACAATAACAACAATTGTTGAAATGCGAGTCGCCTGGTAACTGGAGCACGCAACTGGCTAGAATTCATTATCATTTAACCTGCAGCTCCTCGGATGTGATTTGTATGCTGGTGCTGGGTGTTGTGCCGCTGGCCAGACGTGGCTGCGGTGCCGGAATGTTCTGTGAGAGGGGCTGCACAACGGCCGCGGTATTGGTTGAGTTGATTTGCAGCTGGGGCTTCGCCTGCTCCTCGAACGGATTGTAGTCCTCCAGTGAGACATTGGTGGACATGCGTGTCGCCTGTTGTATGGCGGGATCCTAAAGTCAATCAAATAAGGAAAATACATATGTATATATCAAGTAACGTTAAACATACATCAAAGAAACTGCTGAGCACAGCGTAGGCGGAACACAGTCACATAAACACACACACATAGACATTGGCCTATGAGCTGTCGTCGTTGCACCTACACACACGTATACAAATTTATGTGACAGTGTGTGTGTGTGTGTGTGGTTTTCGTGCACAGCATTTTTGTTGTCAGGCTTACCGCAAATGGGTTATCCAGATTGGGCTCGCCAAATGGATTTTCATCAAAACCGTTGCCGGACATTTTGTTGTTCTGTTTGCTGCTAGTGCTGATGCTTTTTGTTTGTGTGCTAAATTGTGGGCAAACGGTTATTGCCTCTTTTTCGCCTGGTCTATCGGTTTCTTTTCCTTTTTTTTTTTACTTTTGAGTGACGATTTTACGGAACTCGATGTGACCAGTTGCGCGATGTTTCGTGTATGAGTAGTAATGGCTAATAGTGTGTGACCGCGTGCGGCAAGTGGTTGAGCAGGTATGCAGTAAATAAATATACTAAACAGAGTCAAGCTATCGATGAATTTCATATCGATATACTGCACGAATTTGCCAACACAGAATTCTAGTTTCTGGCGTCACATCTTCGGCTTTCAAACTTAACCATTATCGATATATTCAGTAATGAAAAAAGGAAAATCAAATTCAAATATCATTTAACGTAAGAAACTTTTATTCATTAAAAGTACAGCTTAACACATGCGCAAGCATTTAACGTACTTGGAAGACAAATTAACGCTTAGCAGCGCATTTGTAAAGTTATACTCATTACATTCATATACATATACAAAAATGTTGATGCTTACACAATATTATTATTATCATTATTATTGTAATTATTACACATAATTATAAGCTACATGTACGTTACATGCTACAATAAATTAAATCTTTATTGTTCTGTCTTTATAGATTTGCTGTAAGTACTTTTCTTCTCATTACATTTTCCGTTATTATATTGTTTCACTTAATTTTTGCTCTGTTTTCATTCCTTGCGAAATTTGCGCACCAAATACTTTCGACGCATATTGACTGAAGACCCACGATTTCTATACAAAATAGATAGAAGCTACACACTAGATTTATGTATATAATATTTAAAAAAAAAAAAAGATTGTAAATATGTTTATTTGAAGTGCCTTATACACATACATATATATGTACATATATGCGCATGTGGAGACAATGGAGACTGACAAATTCGAAGTAAAATTTCTATAGCTCTGTCTCTTTCTCTTCCCAAAACGTTTCAAATGTCTGATTTAAGTTTTTAAGCTTTTGTTGTTTGCATTTTGTAATTTGTTGTTGGTTGTTGTTTGCTTGTTTTGTTTACTGCTTTCATTCGCATATTCGTTGTGCATTTCGTTAGCCAAGTTAATAATTATAGGGTCCGTATTGGGAGCCGTGATAGTAGGGACCCGGATAGATCTGAGGCTGGGCGTAGTTGGCGTAGGGCGGATAGGGTGGCTGCTTCTGCGAGTAAACTGAAATGCAAACGGAAATGGAAACAGTTTAGAGTGGGCGCTTTCACCTTTGCTTCGCTTGCGTCACTCACCTGGCATCAGGTACTGCAGATTGAGCTGCTCCTCCTTCTCGCGCTCGTTGCGCAGACAAATGGCAGCGCCCGACAGCAGGATGGCGGCCAGCAGACAGGTGGCAATGCCTGTCCAGGCGACAATGTAGGACCAATCGTAGACAATCTTCGTGTTATCGCGCAGCACCTGCAAGCCATAATAGACATTGCCATTGAACACCATCCGAATAATTCAAGCGCTGCTCTGTGCTCACTCACCGTATTCCATTGCTGGTAGTAATCCTCGCCGACGACTTTCTCCTTCTCGAAGAACTCGACCGTGTGCCAAATACCCATCGCGCCCGCGGCCAGCAGACAGGTGACCAGCAACAGGATCGATGTGGCGGTTATGGCGCCCGACGAACGCTTCCAGCAGCCGGAGAGACCCGTCCAGAAGGCACAGAAGATGGTCACAAAGCTGATGATGAAGAGCGCAATGCAGGAGCGGGCCAAATGCAACCGGGACGTGGCATCCTCATTCGATATCTTATCATCCTCCACTTGCGGGAAGTAATCAATGTTCGAGCAGTGCGTCTCAATGGGGGACAGATAAGTGGGCACTAATTGGAATGGAATGGAATGGAAATGGAACTCAGTTTAACATTTATGTCTAGCTTATGCTGTTGTTATTTATAGATCTTACCTGCCGTTACCGGCGGACGCTCCTTGGGATAACATATTCTGAACAGGCCACGAGTTCTCGTATAATAATAATATTTCACATTCAGGTTATGCAGCAACGACTCCGCATCCGAATGCTTGGCGGCAAAGGCCTGAAAAGAAGAAGGTATCAAATTTAATAATCAAAAGTCAAGGATCTTGTTGAGTAAGAATTTATATACATAGATCTATAAAGGAATGTTAAAGTAGAGCATATTATATTATGTATATGTATTCCTGTATGGAATACCATTATCATCTAATCTTAATAAAAAACGCCATTTGAAATTTCCGTTTGATGTTGTATGAAAGTTCATTTATAGATAGCATAGATAGATAGATATATAAATAGATCGATTAATAGAAAGATGTTAGATGGATTAATAGATAGACACGTGGATGGGATGATAGATAGAGGTTGATAAATCGATAAGTAAATGGATAGATAGATAGTGAATATAGATACATATCGATAAATAGAAATAACAGATAAATGGATAGAGAGGCAGACAGATAGGTGGATAGAGAAGATCGAAAAATAGACAGCATTGATTGATGAATAGACAGATCTATCTCATAAGAAAAGAATATAGATAAATAGACAGATAGATAGATCAACATCTAGATAGGCTGCATAATAGAAAGATCGATAGGTTGATAGCAAGAAAAATCGATAACAAGATAGATAGATAGACAGATAGATCGACAGATTATAAATAGATATATCTATAGAGAGATTGATCGACAGCTAATAGATAGTTAAATCGATAGAGAGATAGATAAATAGATGGATACATATGTATATTGATTAACAAATATATCGATCGATTGATAGATCGAAAAATAGATAGATTTTTATTTAGATATATTCACAAGAATACAATATAAAAGAATACCAATGTATGTGTATAACTGGTAATAGGCAAACTGTGCACAAACCCAAGAAATCGATAAGTTATCGTAATCGCTAGCAAACCCGAATGTCTATTTACTTCTGAAATCATAAAAACATTCCAATCATTAGCACATCTATTGGAATGTAGGCAGGCAGTATAAACCTTATTTGAAGAGCCTTGAATCTACAATGATCCAAACAATTGATCAAAGCTTCCACATCAAATAAAGCGTCGAGTAACAACAAATCAAAACAAGACAAAGGCCCCAAAATGCAAATCAACGCCAGAAATGTTGGAACAAGTCTACGCGCAACCGCTCCGAGAACCAGTTCCAGTGTGGGCGAGGAACACGAGTTACAATCAAAATGATTCCGCTTATGATTTTTGTAGCTCAATCTGAAATCAGTTTTGATTGCTGCCATTGCTCGATCATCATCCGGTCATCTCTCGTTTCGTATTGAATTAAGACGCGGATGTACATACATAAATATCGCTACATGTCTAGATGTACCTATGCTCGCTCGTTTGTACATATATTGAGATCTGACAATGGGCGTTCAGCAAGCTGCGTGCGTTGTATTTGCCTCTCCATACATACGTATTTATCAGATCAAGTGCCGTTGCCGTTGAACACGTTCCGCAGTTCCCATACGTCATTTCGAGCGATTCATTGCGAATTGTGAATTGTGGAAGGAAAAAAAAAACGTCTCGAGTCTTACAATTGAAGGTCTTCCATTGTCAATCCGACTGTTGGCACCGCTAATCATTAGCCGAGGTCAAATCAGCTATGGGCACACTTAATACTAATAGATAAACTCAAGAGAATAGCAGAAAGAGTAACAGAATAGCCAAAGACTTCTGTGAACTGTACGAAAGTTCTTCAGCAAAACGAGACGATTTTAACTCAAATAAACTGCATTTAAAATCCCAGATGGGATTGAATCTAACTTAGACTTAATCTACAAAGTTTCGAGTCCTCAACTAGTTCTCTCTGTGAACTAAACACCTTTATGTAGCTCAACTAGGAGACAAACTCAGGAGATTGCTAAAATGAGTGTATAAATAAATAAGAGATTCCTTAGACTACTCAAAAATGAACTGAAATGAACTCTAATGAACCAGTCCTATAAGATATTGCTCTATGTACAAATCTAGGTTAAACTAAATTGTTAGATATATAAAGCTCTTACAGTTACAACCTAAGAACAAAATGGCGTATGAGGAACTGGATTCACTTAAATACATAAGTAGTTCCAACTGTGAGCCTCTGACCTAGAAGTCAATCGTGATAGATACTTAAAGCATCTCTCTCCTTCTCTTTGTCTCTCTGGGGCTCTTGAGTTTTATAATATTACTATATATCGCAACTACCAAAAAGAACTAGTTCCAGCTGTGAATGAACCATGATTAGTAATGATTGCAAGAAAAGTGTAATTAAATAAAAATAAAACTAGTTCCGGCTCTTAGCCAATTACGGTGAATAAAGATGTAGAAGAACTAAAGATCCCTAAGGTATCTCTATCTTTCTCTCTATCTTCTTTCGTACAATATATCAGATTAACAAATTCAGCTAGTTCCGGCTGTGAACCAATCACGAGTAATGAATGCAGAAATACCAAGTCGTATTAGATCTTCAAAGTCTTTCTCTGTCCTACTTAGGTATCACAAAGTTTCAATATAATATAATAATAATAATTACAAAACAAAAACTAGTTCCAGCTGTGAACCAAACATAATTAGGAATGATTGCTCAATAAAGTTGTAGTAGAACGAAATCTTGGTAGATCTTTCAGGTATTTCTCCTCTCCCTCACTCTCTCTCTCTCTCTCTCTCTCACACTCTCCCTCCCTCTCACTCTCTCTCTCTCCCTCTCTCTCTATCACGCTTTTTGAGGCCAATTAGGGATAAGCCGCAAGTCGTATAATCCATTAGCTTTTCTCCACTTTCGATGCGACCTTCGAGCTTTCCTCGACTCGCCGCTATTCGACTTGCCCACTTGGGCGTAACTAAACAATTAGCTCGGCCAGTTATGCATGTATGTATGTGTGTATGTATATGTGGGCTATCTATGTATGTGTATGTGGCTATGCCCAATTGATGCTCTCGATCGGCGGCAGTCCAAGCTCTGCGGCCTGGTGCACACCACTGATTTCTCGAGGCGCTTTACACCTGAATGAATACTCTAATTCAAGCCCAGCCACGCCCACCGCCCACCCATTTGGAGCAAGCTTAGCTCGCATACGATATAAATTAAACGATTCGAAAACCTGTGACAGACATGGAAAGGGGGAGGGCAAGGGGAAGGGCAAGGGGAAGGGCGGTGCCACAGTAGCCCTTAATTGCAATGCTACGACTAGACTTTCATAAGAAAGTTACCAAATTAATCCGCTTGGGTGTGGAGCATGGGCCATGGGCCATGGGGCATTGGGTAAGGGGTATGGGGCCAATACGAGACTCGAGCGAGAGAGCTAAAAGCCAAAACGTTCAACCGGCTCCGAGGCAAGCGAAGCGAAAAGCGAAAAGCATTTCATAAGAGTTTTGAGGCGGGCAGCACCTTCCCAGTCGTCCAGTCGTCCAGTTTCCCCACTCTGCCGTTCCCAACCCAGTTCCACTTTGTGAATTGCTGTTTATTTTCCCATTTCTTTTTTATTTCTTTTCATTTCGTTTCATTTCGTGCTGTTGCGTAAGCGAAAAACACTTTTCACAAGCATCCAAAAAAAAACAACAAAATTTACATAATTCCAATTCTGCAGCTCAATATGGAGAGCACCCATTCCTCTCTCCCTCTCTCTACCTCTGCCTGCCTCTCTCTCGCTCTCTTTCACTCTTTCTCTGGCTTGTCGATAAAAATTTGTTAAGTTTTCTTTTGGCCTGTCGCATTGTTATTTAAGTACCGGACATCAGGTAAAACACGTTTGGATTTTGCTTTTTTCTTTCGTTTTTGGTAGCCAACAAAATGCTTTTCTCTTTTTTGATGTGTGAGAGGGGGAAGGCAGAGTGGAGCAGAGGCGTTGAGAGGGGTGAGAGGGGTGAGAGGGGCAGCCCCCTCTGCAGTGGTATCCAAAAATGTAGAATTTGATGTGGCAAACGTGCAGAACGTGATGCCATTTCAAATTTTCGGCTTGCCTGTGTGTTGATGATTCAGGCACTTTCGGCCCAATACACACACACACACACACACATACATATGTATATGGCTCGTCTCGGTTGCGTCTACGTGTTCTCAAATGCAAAGCGTTAGCATGCGACACCTGACAAGTCGGCGGCCATTCGCATTACCCAAGACTCGACTGATAACTGCAGCTTCATAGAGCAATGCGATCAGATGTGCTCTACAACTGAGCCGTAGCTCCAGACTAAATGCTACTCAATGGATCTCTAGTTGCGAGTGCTGTGAACTTAGAGAGCCTTGGGGTTAAACGTTGGAGGCAATAACCCTAAACAAAGATCCGCAGCGATCGCAGCTGATCTCTAAAACAGTGAAAACCTAAGGAATAATTTGCTAATATCTAGCTAGACTATAGCTAATACATCTATCTAATCAATCGAATTGATCTGAAAGTTATCTTAAAGACAATTTTAAAGACAATCTTAAATGCATGATCCACGTCTTTGATCGCTGATCTCGATAACAGTTGAAAGCCATTTGGTAATATCTAGCTAAGCTATAAGGCATCTGAAAATGATCTCAGAGACTATCTTAGGGACGATCTTAGGTTATGATCTTAGAAGTCAAAGATCGCAGCTGATCTCTATAACAGTAAGACACTAAGAAGTCTTTTGCTAATATATAATCATCACTCACACTGTTCGGAACTGATCTCAGTGACGATCTTAGGGACGATCTTAGGTTATGATCTTAGAAGTCAACGATCGCAGCTGATCTCTATAATAGTTAAACACTAAGAAGTCTCTTGCTAATATAAAAAATAAGTAATACATCACTCAAACTGTTCTGAACTGATCTGTAAATGATCTCAGTGACGATCTTAGGGACGATCTTAGGTTATGATCTTAGAAATCATCGATCGCAGCTGATCTCTTTGGCAGTTGCACCCTAAGAAGTCCTTTGCTAATATCTAATATAGCTCAGACATCTATTTGATCAAAACAGCTGAGCTGAAAATGATCTTAGGGTCGATGGTAGAGACTACTTAAGACATGATCTTAGCCAAGACTCTACTTTACGCTCAGATGACTTGCAGATCACTTAGTAATATAGA